GCTGATCGATGTAATGCAAGAAGTGGCCTATGTGAACAGTGAGTGGGTTATGATCATAACTTACTATCTAAACTAAAAAACCAATCCTCCTTTTGCAGATGTCACCAATGGCGGGGAGTACTGGTATCTGGGCTACGAGTCGGGTAACTTTCGCCAGGACATGGACATCGTTTGGGAGCAGATAAGACCTCTTTACGAGGGCCTCCACGCCTACGTGCGCCGCAAGTTGAGGGACTACTATGGACCGGATCGTATCAACCGTATAGCTCCCATTCCCTCGCACATTCTGGGCAACATGTACGGCCAGTCGTGGTCCAATGTGCTGGACATTTTGATACCCTATCCGGGTCGCAAGCTGATCGATGTCACGCCGCGAATGGTGGAGCAGGGCTACACACCGCAGCTGATGTTCCAGCTGGCCGAGGAGTTCTTCACCTCCATTAATATGTCGGCCGTGGGTCCGGAATTCTATAGAAACTCCATATTCGAGCAGCCTTTGGACAGGCGGGTACTTTGTGAGCCCTCCGCCTGGGACTTTTGCAATCGTCACGATTTCCGGGTGAAAATCTGCACGGACATTAATCAAAGGAGCTTGATAAGTGTCCATCACGAGATGGCGCACATTCAGTACTTCCTGCAGTACCGTCACCTGCCCAAGATCTTCAGAAACGGGGCCAATCCGGCCTTTCATCAGGCGGTGGGCGATGCCATAGGGCTCTCGGTATCGACTCCTAGGCACTTGCAGACCCTGGGACTCCTGCAAAGGTCCCTCGACGAGTCCAGCTACGATATAAACTATCTATTTACCATGGCCATTGATAAGGTAAGAAACATTTATTTACTTATACATTTTTAAAAGGGAGATATTGCCGGAGTGTCACAGAAAAAACGAGCTAAAAATAATCCATTGCCGACTCATGGTTTTATAGTAAACATTTAATTTCCTCAAAGTGAAAGCTGATTGCGAGGAACACAACAAAATTACTCAGAATTGATAAATAAGGCGATGACTTGGTTTTGGTACTGGCGTATTTTCAATTGCTTTGTTAGCTTAACCACAAAAAGATAAATTTATTTCATTCAAATGTATTACAGCTTGAAATTAAACTAATTTTACTACTGGGTGTGATTATAAAACTTGGGGTTTCCGATTCGTAATAAAAGAAATAATATTAAATATTTATAGTATTTAAATAATAGAAATTATTAGAAATTATTCTCCATAGAAAATATTTCCATACATTTTATAACTTTTTTAATATTTTAAAAAATAATAATAATTAATTTTTAATGATTTGATTACATTTCTTCCTTCAGGTGGCCTTCCTGCCTTTTGCTTTGTCTTTGGATAATTGGCGTTATGATGTCTTCAGTGGCAATGCGAACAAACGAACTATGAACTGTCACTACTGGAATTTAAGGTTGGTATTTATGAAAATATATCCATACTTTTACTAAATTAAATTATTATATAGAGAAAAGTACTCCGGTATAAAGCCGCCAGTTCTACGCTCCGAAAAGGATTTTGACATGGGAGCCAAGTACCATATACCAGCGAATATTCCCTACATCAAGTGAGTGCTAAAAAAAGTTCTTTATTACGAGATTGATTGCATAATTACTTGGTAAACATTTCTCCTATTTAATTATTTACTGCATAACCAGAGCAATTAAAACGTCTAGCAGCGGCTTGTTATTAATTTTGCTATTTCTGATTACAATTTACACACAATTTCAAACATTTTCCGTCAAATTGCCGGCGATTACGCGTTGCGATCGCTGGGATCGTCGAACCGGCCATAAAGTTGGCCCACTAACATCGCATAATGTCCAACAACACACATACAGAAAGCCAAGCTTCGGGTCTGTGGAAAAGAAAAAGAAAATGAAATGAAACTGAAAACTCACATGTCTGCAATGTTTCCCGCATTCACTTTCCACTTGGCTGCCGCCAACAAACAGAGCGGGTTTAGTTGGCCATCATTTAAATTTTAAGCCCAGTTGAAAAACTGTTACGAAAATCCAGACTAGACCATTTTAACTGTTGACTGTTCAGGCTCGACTGCCAAACTCGAGACGTTGACCCAGTAATCTACAAATATTTTCTGCTTCGAATTTCCATTTGTATAAAAACAACTACAAAAGAAGGTGTCAATGCCAAATCATATGTCTTGGTTTCTACTTTTGATGTTGTTAAATTTGTTTTGTCTAGGGTTTCACCGCTAACTTATACGAACGTCTGTGGCTTAGGTTCTTTTAAAGTGGTTATTAGGCAATCCCACGTGGGTTTATTATATCAAATTTTATACAATAAATCATGTTGTTAGTGTTTTTTCATAAAAACCAAAAGTTACGAAGTTAATACAAATTATTCTTCATCTTAAGTTTCATGGTATCACACATATTCATACAGCATACCCCTCTTAAGTTAATATTTCTTAAAAAACATACCGACTCCACTAACCGAATGAAGTGCTAGCCATCAGAGCCATTAGCCAGATTTTTATTGCCGCCATTCTTTTGGCATTAGCCGCACACTCTCGATGGGAAAAATAGGGGGCGGTTGGAGGATGAAGGAGGGAGGATTACAACACCACCAGTTCGCCATTCGGGCATTGTGCTGGCGATTATTTATTGCATAATCAATAAACTGCAAACGCTACAGTTACATAAACAAAAGCTACCAGAAAACAACTAGCCACCAAGAGAGTTAGCCCCAATATGGTAATAAAAAAGAGCTGTGCTCGACTCGACGGGTCTTACGGTCTTACGGCTCAAATATCGGTTAGCAGCACATGTCCTACAAACCGACTTGGAGGAAAAACGTGATAAATCCGTGGCCCACTTTATTTAACCCACTCTGCAAATTGCAGCGGCTTCAATGGAGCCGAAAATGCAAATTGAAACCCAATCTTTGTGGTCGTTGCAACAGGCTGGCTATAGCCAAAGCCGCAGAAAGGAGTGCAAAAACCGAGACCGAAAAAACCAAAAGACCCCCCTCCCTTACTTTTTGCTGGTGCTAATAAAAAGTAATGCCCACACCGCAAAATAAACGCTAGGAAATGGACACGAGTGCAGAGACTTGCGGAGCTCGAGAGCCCGAGGAAAGCGAAATGATGGTGTGGAAAATGTAATAAACATGTTGAACTGTCTTGTGGGTCCTCCTCCCTCGATCCCCTCCTTGGAAATAACCCTGTCTGTCTATCTTTCTGTGGGCGAGACACTTTGAATATGCAATTATGAATGCAAGGCGATGTTTACCTCATTTGAAAATTAGATAAGACATTTATGGGCAATGAAGGAACGACTTGATTTGGCTCTTTGCCTTCCATGTCTGCTTCTCTGTGGGTAAAGTAAAGCGATTCGACTGAAAGTGAGTTTTGGCCCATGCAAATGGCTGCAGTATGTGGGAAATGTTGAGGTTAAACTGCAATTAGTATTTATTTATAATGAGGGCAATTAGGCTGAGACGGAATCGAGCTATTTAACTCTTTAAATATTGTGTTAAACATTTTTTAATAATTATATTTTTTATAATATTACATCCGAGATAAATCATAAATTATTTAAAAGATTTGGGGACGCCTCTTATCCATTTAAAATAAAGTACGCATTGCAAAACAGATTTAATGCTCATTTTTATTTTACTTTATTTTTTATTGCTCAAATATTTATACCTACAAAGGTAATATAAACATGGGCTTAAGTCGTTAGTAAAACAAGCTATTTTATAGCTTTACTTTAGTTTTATTTTTTTAATGTTTCGACTGGTTTAAGTTGCGCCTTTTGAAAATAAAAATGTTATAAAATATATTGTTTAAAGTTAATGTTTGTTGAGATTGTTTAGTGCCCGTTGTTTCCATATTCTTGAATAAAAAAGTTAAAAGACTTTTCCCCAATACCGATAGTTTCTAAAATGTTTTCCCATTGCTAGCAATTGCGAGTTCAAAAAATATTTAAATTAAGTTAATATTTATGAAATTTGCCTAATCAATTTATGTTCCAGTCTAAAATTAATTAAGAAAACAGTTGTATATTCGTTTTGATCACTTGGTTTTTCATTTATTTAATTGTGTGTTCATTCATCAGCTTCATGTTGTATGAGATTTTTTGTTTGTTTTTATACAGAGTCAAAAAATATTTGGTAAATTAAGTACTTTTTATAAATCCGTTTCGTCTGCTTATACGAACAAGCAATATTACATAGACGTATTACAAGCTAGGTAGCGAAGAGTTACAAAATATTACAAATTACAAAAACTAATACAATACGTTCGTTTACAAACTGACTTAAATAGGCGTCTCCCTATCTCGAATATCGCACAAGCTTAAACGCTATCAGAAGTCTTATCACACGCTCACAACGCTGGGACGCTGCACACAACTGGATGGATTGGCATTCCTATGTAGATATGTGGATCCATCTCACTTGGGAACCGGAACGGGTGCACGAGTCGGGGTGGACCAGAGCAGAAGAGGGAGGAGCCGCGGCTGGAGGACAAAACAGCAGCAGCAACCACATCGATGATGCACCCAAGGTGGTGTCGCTTCCTTAACCATCCAATAAGATCCACATCGTCGTAGCAGTACAATATAAGCCTGGTATCCTGGTATCCTGGGATCTGGCGACTACTGTCTGTGTTCGATCGAGTGTCTTGGAGTCTTGGAGGGTCGGGAAGTGGGTTGGTGTCTTGGTTCTTGTTGATGTTCTTTGTTGTTGTGTGGGCTGTGCGGCCCAAATGTGTCGCTTAGAAGTCTTAATCCTAAGTTCCTTTACAATCCACTCATTCACAGTGCTTCACGGGTTTCGTCAACGTTTCAAGGTATCCTTTTGTGTTATGTTTTTCTGTTTTTATATGGCTTACGGCTAGAAGAGAGTTTCGGTCTAAAAGCTAAGTTCGTCGGTTACTACTCGTCTGGTTTCTCTGAATCTCTGTCGGTTATCACGTTGTGTAGGAAAAGTGTTATGATAATATGGAATGGAATGATGTGTTAGCGGGTCGGGGTTTTCTATTTCTTTTTCGATTTGGGAAACTGTGGTAATGGAAGAGTTTATTCGCTTGCCATCCCAGTTGATTCTCAATGCTGTAAAGAAAAGCGAAAGAAGAGGAGAGAAAGAGAGAAGAGTGCGATTCACCAGTTTAGTAGCCGTGATATGAATGATAATCATGAGAGGCAAATTCATGCTCCACCTCGTGCTCATGCTCCACGATGGGATGGGAGTAATGCTGATGCTGATGATGATGGACGGGGGCGTGATGGTGCTCCTCCTCGATGTGCTTGTGATGGAACTCGGGCTCCTTGTAGCTGATGTGCTTCTCGTGGTATTCCGGCACGTGCTTCTCGATGTGAACATGGACGGGCTTCTCCACGGGGATCTTGACCGGGTACGGAACGTGTTTCTCGACCTTCACGGGCACTTCCTTGATCACCGGGTAGGGGGCGGGCACATGGACCTTGACCTCATAGGGCACTGGCTTCTCCACATGCACGGGCACGGGGCGATCGTAGGGCACATGGACGGGAACGGGCACCTTCTTGATCACGGGCACGGCCACTGGTTTGTCCACATAGTGGGGCACTGGTTTGTCAATGTAATGGGGCACTGGCTTGTCGACGGGCACCTTCACGGGATAGTGGACCACCTTCTCCACGGGATAGGGCTTGTCCACATGCACATGCTTCTCCACATTGTAGTGGACAATCTTCTCGACGGGGTAGGGAGCAGGGACATGGACCTTGACGGGCACATGGACCTTCTTTTCGACTGGGTAAGGAGCGGGCACATGAACCTGAAGGACCAAAAAAACCAAAGAATTAGAACCCCAAATTGATAGGCTACCTTTCCCACCAACCCACCTTAACGGGCACTGGGCGATCGTAGTGCACATGGACTGGCACATGGACCTGCTTCTCAACGGGATAGGGAGCTGGCACCTCGTAGGGAACCTTCACGATCTCCTTGACCTCGTAGGGAATGTGCTTGATCACCGGATAGGGCTTGGGCACCTTGACCTTAACGGGCACATGGATGTGCTTCTCCACCGGCACATGCACGATCTTTTCGATGGGCACGGGCACTGGGACCTTCTTGATCACCGTCAGTGTCTTCTCCTCGTGCACCGGGAAGTGGGGCACGTGGTGGTGATGGTAGTCCTCGTAGTGGTGCAGTCCTCGCTTCGATTTGGTGGTGTCCTCGCTGGCCGCTGCCTCGGCAGCCTTGGCCTCCGGCTCAACCTTCTTCTCCTCGGCGGGAGCGGCGGCCTTCTCCTCCTCGGCCCGAGTGTAACTGGTGGCCAGGAGCAGGACCAAAGCCAGCGATGTCGCTGTGCGCTGCAAGTCAAAGAAGTCCTTGTTAGAAGGGTGCTTAGTGGGATTTAAAAGTTCTTAAAGTCCACTTTAACTTTAAAAGTATTTTGAATTATCAGGCAATAAAATACGGAGCCGCAAAAAATTTTAAAAATTAATAGAACATCTTCATCGAGAAGTTAAAATATAATGTCCTAAGTTTAAATATCTTGGTATGTTGTAAAATAACAAAAAGTTTGTTATTATGAATAATTTATGAAATAATTAAATCATTCAAATAGATTCAATCCACATCTTAATAATGTTTCGGAAGAATTGTTTTGAAAACATATTGCTAAAATCACTGATTGTTAGACTTTAATGTTGTAATGCATTTTGATGCATTTTCATCACCGAATAATCGGGTAATTTTCTCTCATGTTCTTGAGTCCTTTTCAACCACTTCTTCACTGCACTTTTTTTGGTCCTGACCACCGATACTCACCATCAACTTCATGCTGCTGCGTTTATCCTTCGATGGACGGGAATGGAAATCCGTTTTCCCAGGTCGTTTGGCCCGCGATTCGAGAACTGGGCGAGAACTGATCCCGATTTTTTGTCGAGGGGGTGTTTGGTTTTGATCACTAGTCCACGTTCCGTACCACTCTAGGCTGTAGACTGTTCGACGGTTAACGGTTTAATGATGCCAACTGCAGCGCCTGCGCGCACTTTTATAGTTCCCAATCGAAAGCCAAGCCACTCTACTCCACTCCACGCCGAATGAATGGATGCACGAAGCGAGCTAAGCCGAAGAGCAGACGGCCAAAACCATCGGCAACACCAATAATAATCGCAATGGCCCAAAACACATGCGGCGCAGCGAATGGTGAGCGGTACGCTATACTAAAACTAAACTCTTGTGCCTGCTGTTGTTGTTGTTGTTGTGCGGCGGTTGCCTGTCTACTTTGCCTTTGGTGGTCCGCTGGCTGGTGGTTCGCTGGATTTTGGAGGCGCGAAGTCAACGCAGCCAAGCGCCAAATGCAGCGCCACCGTCACCGCAAAAAAAAACAAAAACAAGAATGGCAATCTAGCTTTAAAATACGAAGTTTTAAATACCCTTTCAAAAATTGAATTTGGTAAACCCAATTAAAAGCTAATTTTATTTGTGTGTCAATTTAATATTTTGATTTTAAGTAGATGCATAAATATTAATACCTTTTTTCTAATAATGCTCTTAAATGAAAGTTAAACAAAACAAGTGATTCGAATTATTTATTAGATAAATGTCTATATAATAACAAACATTTGTTTTTATAAGGTAAAGAAACTGCTTTATAATGTACAATTTTTATTATAAATGATACTATAACTGTTTTAATATTTTACTCTCAACTATCCTTGCAACTAACAGATTTAAAAAATATTATTTGGTCCTCAGGCAATTAAAAATTATATGCCAATGCTTTCGACATTTTGAGTACATTTTTGGACAATTAATACGTTTTATAGACACATTATTTTAAAGAAGGCGCCGCAAACCGATCTTCAAAGTCGTAAAACCCTCTCGAGAAGTATGAAAAACAGAAATAAGATTGCAATACCAAGAGGAGACCGAGCAAATGGGTAAAAACGGGGGTTTTTTTTTGCAGGGGAACTGGGGGAAGAGCAGACGAGGGTCTATGGATGCGTGCCATTTTGCTGTTTAATTCGACTACCGTCAGCTGCCGCTTTTTCGCTTCTTGTGGCTGCCGCAAGTCAATGCACGTAAAAGGCTTGAGAAACCAAACGCAAAGCCACAACGGCAACTTCGGCAGCACAGGCCCCACAATTTCTGGCTGGTAATTGAATAATACCCAAATGGATGAGCCGCCTTCAAGCCACTTCAAGTGATGAGCTGTTCGCTTTGTTGGCGGTTTTCATTTCAATGTTGTTTTTATGTTAATCACAGATGATTATGTATGTACTTGTTGCCGCTGGATTTTTTATTTGCTATTTGGGGATTATTCTTCAGGACGATGTTTTGATTGATTACATTGAAATTATTTTAGCGATTTTACACGTAATATTTTAAACTTGGAATTAGTTCTGTGATTAGTTTAAAATGGTATATAAATTGTTTAAAAAATTATTCACTATTCTTTAATGAAGAGTTGAATAATTCGAATGTCTCTCATTCTTAAATCCTTTTTGTTTAATTATCCCTTTTTTTATAAATATTTTGTTAATTGTTCCCCATTACTCACAAAGTAATCGTACTTCAAATGAGCATAATAATAATCATTTGTAGCCATACCCTAAAAAAGCACTAGTTTACTTTAGCTTTTCCTTTCACCGCTTTGAATGTTTTTCCTAATTGAATGCTCAACTAATCCTGGTGAGTTTTTTTTTGCGCTCTCACTACAAGTCTTTACCCCTCTTACTTTGGTTACACCCCCTTTTTTTCTGGTCTCGTGTCACCTGATTTTCCCCTTCCTCGACTGACCACAGACAATCCTTTGTCTGGCTGTCATCTGCATCCTTTTACTTTTTTCCCCATTCGTATTATGCCATTATCCCATTCACCCGACCGAGCCCCAATGATTCCGGACCAGTTTCCGCGAGGTTGGGGGACAGGTCCCTCCCTCCCAACTTCAAGTCTGGGGAGTGTGTCACTCGGTCATTCGGTGCTGGTTGTGTCACTGCTCCACATTCGATTCACCAACCATAACCTAAGACAAAGAGCAATCACAAGTAGTAGAAACAGAAGCTCGCGAACCGAGACGATAGTAAGTACAATCCAATCCCATTCAATCCATATCCATTTCTGCGTAATTGATACCAAGTAGCGCCACTAGAGACCAAGTGGACCCTGGACGGGGCGGGTCCAGTCTTAGTTCGATTACCTTCCTCGTTATTATGTCAATGGGTCTTCAGTCAGCTGCGGTTTGGCACACATATCGAGTATAAATATATCACACTTATAGTGTGGATACGGGTTTAAGGTGCACACCATAACTAATAATGGTTTTTCTAGGAAAATAATATACAAAAATATATGAAAATAAAAAATTTATTTTAATAAAATTATTAATTTAATCACGAAAACATATAAAAATTAAAAAATGTTATGATTAAGATTTGTTGATATAAGAACATGAGAACTACATGGTAAAAGGTTCCCTTTTATAGATTAGAATTTAAGATATGTTATTAGATTTATTATGTTCTTATTTGTAACATAGTAAAATCCTTTTTCTACTGAGTGGCCTGATAGTCATGTTGGGTATCTTTTAATCCAAGACTTGTTACGATAGCAAATATTTTCTCGCTTTCGTTGCATGCATGCAACTTTCGATTTCGTTTCGATTCGCGTTTGTTGCATGTCTTGACCACATTGTTCGATGCACATTTCCACAATTGCGGGAAAGAGACGGGTATACGGGGGCCAGAAGAAAGAGAGGCAGAGAGTGGCGTTTGGAGGCTGCTGCCCCAGCTGATGTTGATATTATGTCATATGTTCGTTTGCTGGGGCGCTCGCCTACCGTCAGAGAGATGATTTCGAGTACATTGTCTGAGCCCCATCATAATCGGTACGAGTGCACTTACTTCCTCGACTTAATTACCATATGCCACCATATATATCCATACTTATTATCACTCTTGGGTCTTCTTCTTCCATTGTTTTAGCTTGCCTTTGAAAATCGTCTTTCGATTGGAGCTTAGCTTCTTTGTGCCGATATTCAGGCTGCAGCTCGTTTGTTTACATTGTCTGTGGTTCCTGACCTTGCCGCATTTGGCGATAAACTAAGCTTTACATAAATTAATTCATCTATTTTTCGGTGGGTCTTTATTCGCCGACAAAGGTGTCAAAGTTGAACCAGCTGCCAATTGATCATATTCCATAGAAGAAACTCGCTTTGCATTTGCATTCGCTGCCTGATTTGTGTAACAATTTATTGTCGTCGCCCGAGCATTCCATTCCACTTCGTTCCCATTTTAAGTTTTGATGTCTTCAATTTTGGACGACTTCCAACAATATATAGAGCTGTAAGCCCCATGTAGGCGAAAATGACAGTTATGACATTTTATGTGCCGTTTACCAAAGTCCCATTCAGCTCTTTGTCACCTACAGTCGTTGGTTGTTGTCGATTCGCTTGTGGTTTCCACCTGCCAAGGTGTACGTATAACTGTTTTTCTTTTTGGGTCTCGGTGGTTTAACCGTTTCGCGTTTTGTTTACTGCCATTTTGAGGATGGGGCCACCGCAGACGGGGTTCATTGCATTACTGGTCAAGGTCGTTGCTTGGACTTGTTACCCAGCCCACCAGACTGAAAACTTGGCTCCAAAAACGAACGAAGCAATTTGTCATGCAGGGAAAACCTTATGAGTAGGATGAGCTCTGATATGTGGATGATGTCCCCGTGAGAGAAATAAAAAGATAAAATTTTATTGAGATTAAAATTTTATTTTGGTAAAATTAAGTAAATAAATTTTAATTTAAATATCAAAAAATATTATGTGTGTTTTTATTATAATATAATAATTATAATTTAATTTTGAATTTTATTTCACAGTAAAAATTTAAAGAATATTCCTAATGATTTTAATATTTAATCAATACCCATTCAAGTGTTAGTTAAAAAGCAGCCATCATCTGTAATTATCGAAACAGAAAGTGAACCTCCTTGATATGCAGTTAGCTCAAAAGGGAAACCCCCGAAGTTCAATGCCAAAACACTGCTTGCCCGCCCAAAAAAGTTCATTAGGCAAACAAAATATTAACTATCCCCATGATCTGTTCGCTATTCAGGTTAAATACCATTCCAATGAACTTGCAAGACGTGTAAACTGCAATCACTGCCCTATTAATCGGTTTGCTGCGATCAGCTGTTAAATTATTTTTACTATGGCCAACCGCTCCTCTCAATGATCGTTGCAATTAGGGCTTAATCGGGGTTTACGATCTCGACTTAACGCATCTCTCAACCGATCGGCGAAATAACACTCAGAAACAACAACAAAAAAGGCAGGAAATGGGGTCAATGGCAAAAGCATTTGAACTCTTGTTTATACCCTCTTTTATTTTTGGAATGGAAACTGTTCATAAATAAATGCCTTGTCCGAGAAGTTAAGACGCCATTTGGTCACATTGTCACGCGCCAACGAATGCTTTTGATAGTGCAAAACACAAATATCTATATTTATTTATGCATCTGCAGCAAGCCGTGACGTTCACTTAATCAAAATTGCGGCGAGAGAGTCTCTTACTATTTTTGTGGGCAGTGCGCTAAGCTAAACTGATTAATAAGGAAGTTGGGCCTCCGATCCACCTGCGAATTTATGCAGATTTTCCAGCAAGAAAGCCAGAAAAACCAGTCAAAGAAAAAGTATTTATAAGCATAATAATTCCGCCTTGGGGGCCAACTTCGTGTCGGCCAGCTGTAATGGGCTGTAATAGTTGACCCATTGACTTAGTCAACAAATTTTGCGATTTTCAGTGAAAAGCTGGCGAAATATTATGAGGAAAATCCGCTTGCCTGTCGTCACTGCTACTTCAGCAGAAACTATTTTAAATAAAGACTTTAATTTCGATTTCAGTTTTGGCCACAATTCACCTTTGTTTTTGTGGCCATAATTACAACAACTCCCAAGTCCGAAACAAAGTTGGCAATCAAATGCACAGCCGTCTTTGTTGTTGGTGTAAATTGCGTAAATTGAATAAACATTATGCTGTAGTAGTAGAGTGAAGCCCAGGGTATCAGGTAAAACACATTCGGGCCGGTACGTTTCTTGTCGACATGTTCGTTTTACATTTGGTAAATCTGCTTTTGCAGCTCTTGGCTTTGTTGCCTTCTGAGCCGCACTGAGGCGAAGCCGAAGTTGTTACTTAGTGTGAATATGGATGGGCATGCGAGAGGTGCTTCAGCGGTTCGAGTTTTAGGATAAGATTGAAAATGATATTAAATATTGTATCAAATAAAATGATATGGAAAATTTATTGGAACTAATCTGACAAATACACAAAAATGTTACAAAAATGTTGGCAGTTAAATTAAATTTTTATAACACAATATATATTTCATTAAATTTACTGCCAAATTTATACCAACCAGTAAAACACACTAACGTTTTTTTATTTTATAAAAAACTCTCGGTAACTCTTAAGTCCAACCTCGGCCAGTCTAAAAATATAGAGCGGAGCGTAATTAGGCAGCACTTAAATGACTGTAATTAACAAAACAACAGCAATAAAAGAAAAATACGTATATTAAGCAATCATCTTGGCCAAATAAAATACGAAAAAGTGCTTAGAAATGGTATGGCTAGAACTAGGAACTATTGGCCATCGTAATAAACTGTAACAGGTACATCAATCAAATTTATTATGGTTTTCCTATATTTTTCCAAAAGCATGCAAAAACGCAGTAAAAACTTGATTGAGCGAAATAACTTCCGAATAAGAAAATTAGTGCACAGAGAAAGGAAAAACAGTACGCATTGAAAATTCAAACAATATTTTTAAAGCACACTAAAAAAGGCAACTGATGACTTAATAAAGTTGTAAAAGCAAGAACCACTTTAACATTTTGTAGTAAAAATTAAGCAATTAGTCGTTGCAAAATTATTTTCAGATTTTTGTCTTCTATTGCGAAAATCTACTACTTTAATAGTTACTTTGCAGCAGATTAAAGATCTGGTCTATGATAAATGCCAAACATTACCCAGACACATTTTCCCGAGGCTTTCGTCGCTTTCGGCTGCTGCTCATTTGGCTCTGTGGGATTGTCGAAATGTGGCAACACATTTGCGATTTGGAAAAATTTCTTTGCAACCGAAAAGTTGCGCGCAAAAGAAATTGCAAGTCAATTACCCGTCTAGCGGTTTGCATGGCGCCATGACGCAATCGCCACATGTGGCAGCCGAAGCCAAAGAAAAAGCCACAATAATATCAGCCGAGTCGACGTCATCAGCATATCGCTAATTGATTGCGTCTGCATTGCTTATTATTATTGTTGTTGCTGTTGCTGCATTCACTTTGCTTTTTGCTTTTTGGGTCGAGCCATTCTCCATTGGCACACCACCGCACACACTTGGCACAATCGAAGTAGCACGAACAGCGGCTCCGTTTCTCGGGTTAGGACAAGATCAATGTTGCTGGCGTTGGTCAATCCAGAGGCAACAGGTTCTCCCAAAACGAAAGACTCAGGCAGCGAACTTGAAATGCGTATCGGCTCTTTCTGGATTGCCTGTCATTGCAGTTGATTGCGCCGATAAATGTTGCTGCCGCTCTAACTCACGTGCATTATTTGTTGCATCACTTTTCACCAGTCCGCTTTTCATTTCAGTTTTGCCAAATTACCTGCTATTTTTTTGCTTAAGTGCTTGAGAGATTATGTGAGAAGTGAAGTGGAGTGAGAGTGAAGTAGTTCCATTGAGGCCGCAAGCTAGTAAACTCTGACTGCGGTAGATCTAAAGTATATCATTATTAAAATATTATAAATGAGTATAAATTTTCAAAAGCAAACAAATTAAAATATACATTTTATTTTTGTGCACAAAATTTGAATTATTTTTATTGTTTACTCGATACTATTAAATTTGTTGATTTGCTATACCAGAAGTACTTCCAATTTTGTTATTAAAATGTTACTATTATTTTTTATTAATATTTTAGATTTACTATATAATGTTAAAATATTACATTTCTTCGAGTATCTTTGAATTCAAGTGGCAACAGAGATACGATTTGTCAATACGTGTCCTAAGTCTACAAAACAAAGTGCTCTTGAAAAATTCCTCCTCATTCTTAAGTGAATAAAAATAAACGAACTTTGCAATTAGTAATTTTGAGTAAATTATAATTTTAGTTTCCGTTATTTCCTTTTGGTTAAAAGAGTCTCTGCTGAAAAGCATTATAGCAATTTTTGTTTGGCGAAGAAAATAAAATAATAAAGTCGTTGACCATTTAGATTTATTCATAAATAATATCTTTTGATTTCTTCGTAGGCTTTAAATTCACTTTTTCGCTTGACTTTCATTTGAGAACAAAGGCTTCGTGTTTTATGATAAAACTTTTATCATCCCTCATGTATTTATCATACGAAAAATGAACTTTGTTTTTTATTATTTCCGACTATTGTGAAATTAAAATGTATATATCGCTTTTCCATTTTATTCAAACTGATATGAACGGTACTTTACAAGAAATATCTCTTTTGACGTAAATTTTATTCAGGAAAAGTAGTATTTTTGTTATTTGTTGATAGATAAGAATTTATATATACGTATCAATGCTATTGGTTCAAGTTTTATATTAGAGCTCTTTGCATTTCAGCATCAAATTTCACTTGATGACTTTCATTATCTAATACAGTTCGGCGCTTGCGAATTCGCCAAGTAATCAGAGAAGCTGTGACAATTATTACAAGACAAATTCCTAAAATTAGCCCCAAAATGAGTGGTTTGTGGCTCTTATTCACTTCCTTATCAGGACTAGATGGTTTAATCTGGCTTGAAGAATGAGAAGAATCCATTGGGGGTGAATCAATTGATTCGGTTGTATCGTGTCCTTCTGTAGTCGATGTTGTGGTCGTGGTCGTAGTTGTGGTCTCGTCGACCACACAATTGCCTTCGGCGGACTTTTTGAAGCCAGGACAACATAGATATTGATCTTCCATTTTGGTTTTGGTCTAAAAATGGTGTACTTTTTAAAACCCCACTTAGTATATATCCTTTTAATGAGCTTACCACATTTTTACTTCCTGCTGGAATTCCTAATTGAGTGAAATATTTTGAAAAGCTTCCATAATCCTCCATGGCCTTAGGGATACTCTCCGTGTAGTTTACAGCTACGTGTTGTAGACACAAGTGAGGATCTGCTTCACAACTAACAATCATGTACAATGATAGGCTCACAAAAGAAAATATTTGAATTTTAAACATTTTTAAAAATTCTGTCCGCACCGGGATACAAATAAAAAGCAACTGTGGCAACCATTTGAGGAATAATGATAATTTATTCTGTTCTGGAGAAAGATAATGGGCGTTGCATGGGTTATTCAAGAGGATTCGCATGTCATCAACATTACTATAATTCATAAATCTTAAATATTTTTTTCACAATTAATTTGTGTGAATTTTACCAATACTACTTTAATTGTAAATATTTTCTGACAACATATTTCAGGATTTATTTAATCAATTTTATAGAAGCCCCCTTTCAAGCAAATAATTCCTACACCTCTGGGCGAATAAGATAGGGAAGCTTCACTGCAGATTAAATAAAGCTCGGCTTATGAAGAGCTTTATATTTGGTGCATAGTGCTAGACATTTTAAATTTTCAGTCATCTTACTTTCAAATTATAAAATTATTAATTTGTTTTCTTTAAAAAATCCATATTTTAATAATATCTCTGTTATACACATTAGGCTTAAGCACAATTTTTTATCATTTAGCAATTTTGTAAATCTGTGAGTCCAAAACCTTTTGTTAAGCGTAAACAAGAAATTAAAGCTCTGTAAAGCTTCTATATAATATATCTATTTGAAAAGACGAGAAGCTTAAAATATTTTAAAGATATATTTGTTGCATAGACTAAGGGTAATCCAATAACTTTACAGTTTGGAAACCACTGAAAAAAATTTTAAAATGTTTAAAAATACAAGCAATTCAAGCTATTTTAGAATGCTGTAGAGAACAACGCTATTTAAAGGATAGTCTGACTAGACCCACAAAAATAGAAGTACATTAATAATAGGTTTTGTTATAAGTAATTTGTTCGAAAGCGTATTAACCGCAAATTGCGCTTCATTTTTTGATTATGCCATAAAAATTGTAATAACATTTAATGCCACTTAATGTTTATTTGAATACTATGTTAATAAAACACACAAATTAAGGTCTTAAAATAAACAACAAATTTAGATTAATATAACGATTAAAGATTTTGAAGCTCAGCTCCTAGTTCGACTTCTTAAAATATGCGTTGTGTTTTATCAAAAAAAAAATTTGTTGTAATTTAAAACTATTCAATACTCATTTCATACACTGATACACTAAGTGTCCATCTAGTAAAACATACAAAAAATTACTCATATTAGATATTCTGGTCGATTCCCCACATCCTCACAATTTCTTGATAACTGAATTTTTCGTTAGTCATCTGACCAGAAAAAAACGTGCAGTATCATGGGATTTTATTTTTGGTTTTTATTCCAGCCACAAATAAATATTTTCATGTTTTATGAACTCAAGAATTTAAACTTTCCACCTAAAGAAAACATACATTTTTTATAGTTGAGACTTCCAAGGCTTCAAATTTTCGAACTCTTTGGTTAAATCCAGTTTTATTTCGAAAGTCTAAATTAAATGATTCACTATGTCAAAGCATTTGTTAAATCTATATTGCAACTCTGAGCACAAGAAACGACAAAAATTAAGGCCAGTAAAAAAATATTCTTTCAGTCCCAAAGTTCATACCAGAATGAATAGGCTTAATGCACAAGAGAAATGATCAATTTGATTTAGTTTGTTTTTTTATTTGGCTACCTAATGTTTTAAATGATTAATTCTAGTTTCCTTAAAAATTAAAATTTTTGAGTTAATTTAGTTTTAAAAATCAATACTATAATTTCACGTTATAAGCTAATTTATTTAATTACTAATTTTATATATTAGACTTTAGAACTAACGTGCATATGCCCACTATCTTTTAAAACATAAGTTCGTTCGCGGTTCTCCCAAATACAGACTACAACGAATAAAAATAAAACGATTAAAATAGCTATAATTGGACAAATGAAATATACGTAATATTCATCAAATAATGTCTTTCGCTGCACACATTTTCCATCGTCGGTTTCTATATAGCCAGAGCAACAAAAACGTTCTCCTTTTTCCATTTTGATTTCAGTCTAAGAATTTCAAAGTTTTTGAATTTATTTTTTGGTTTTTTTTTTTAGCGGCATACATACCTTTGGTATTAAGTTAAGCTTTTCGTAATAAATATACATTTCGCCCAAATTTCCATATTGACTGGGAGTATTCAGATCCGTAGTCCTTACTGGCACTTCATGATAACACCAATGATCTTCATCGCAACTCGCAATATTATATGTTAAGAAACACAGCAACGGAATTATTGAAAGCCGGGACATTATATTTTATTTCACCCGTTCTGGGAAACGTTCTAAAATGTACTGATCGTAATAGAGAGCATTCGACTTATTCTCCGAAAGAATAAGTTCAGTTACGCTGACAAATATTTTAAAATTGGATGTCAAAAAAAAACTTCAAGAAAAACTTAAAATAAAAAACTTTTTGAATAAGCTGACAAAGCTGCTTGCATATGTAGAAAAGCTTAAAATAATATATCATGTTGTTGCATAGTTTTGGGATTATTATGCGACTAAATGTCTCTCTTTTCTTTAAACATTTAGATTTTGTTATCAATTATTTTTGTTTCTGCTTACCTTTTTGATAAATTTCTTTATCGAAGAAGTCAACCCTTAATTTTTCCGTCCTTTGATTTTTTTCTTCTATTACCAAGAGCTTTTTTTTTTTTAATTTTCGTTTTATTTACATTATTTAAATATGTACAAACATTTCATAGAAAAGAAATTTACATGAAAAAGTCGAAGGAGCAACTCGTCAGCAGTTATTTCTCTGTGATTGTCTACAAAAGAACTGTACACTCGAGGGAATCGGAATCGGAAGCCGAGGAGACAGGCACTTTCTGAACGCCGCCCAGAGATGGGTTTTGGCAAGCTTTCTATATATGGGATGGCGTCAGATGTGTGATTTTCTCTTCAGCTTCGGATCCTCCTAGAATTTCGGTTGGTATCACAAACTAAAACTAAATTTGTAAGTCGTACGTTGGCGGTTGCTGGGGCATGGGAAAAAGGGGCGGGGGCGGGAGTTGATTCTTGTTGATTCTTAATGTCATTTGGATACTTTCTTTCGACTTGTTGGTTCGCTCGCCTTCACCTGATTTCACATCTCATTTGGCCCTCGACAGCATAGCGATTTGATCTACTTTTTGTGGAGGTAGCCACCGTGTCCGGAGCTGCCGTAGGAGGAGATGCCGTGTCCGGAGGCGCCGTACGAGGAGATTCCGTGTCCGCCGTACGAGGAGATGCCGTGGCCGGAGTAGCCGTGGCTGATGATGGCCGGAGCAGCGGCAACGGTGTGGGTGACGGCCACGGCGGGCTTCACGTGGCTCTCAACATGGACGGGCACGGGCACGGCCACCTTGTAGGGCACGGGGCGCTCCACATGGACGGGCACCTTGTGGATGACGCGCTTCTCAACGGTGTATGGCACGGGCTTCTCCACGGGCACGGGGTATGGCTTGTCCACGTGAACGGTGTAGGGACGGTCGACGGGGATCTTCACGGGCACACGGATGACCTTCTCGACGGGGTAGGGCTGGGGCACTTCGACGGGCACCTTGACGATCTCCTTGACGGGCACATGGACGATCTTCTCGACGGGGTAGGGCTGGGGCACGGGCACCTTGACGGGATAGGTGACGGTCTTCTCGACGGGGTAGGGCACATGACGCTCCACCTGGTAGGGCACCTGCACGGTCCTCACCACGGTGTTGGTGTGCACCTGGGTGGGCAGCTCAGCGACAGCGGGGGCCACTGGAACTCCGATTCCGATGCCCGATCCCAGGATGGCGCCTCCCGCCGACGGTCCGTAGCCGTAGCCCAGACCATGGCCAATGCCGCGCTTCTCCTGCTTCTTCTCGGCGGGCTCGGCTGGGGTCTCCACTGGCTTCTTGGGCGCCTCCTCGCTGGCGCTGGCCACCAGCACGCACATCGCCACAAGGCCGAAAATGAGCTGCAATTGTAATGGCAATGGCAAGTGCGTTAAATTCGATCGAAACCCAAATTGGGTCGGGGCCTGGTTATGCAACTGCAGCCGCTTCCGGCTCCACCCCCCGGGCACTCCATAATTCGGAATATGACAATTATGCAATGGCTGGAAAGTTGGCTGGGCGATCAGCCAAGTTCAATGATGGCCTAGGCCCCCTAACATATTGGGCTGCGCATGCGGCGTATACGTAATGTGGATTGCCATTTTCGCAATGCCTTAGGTAAACGACATTTTGAAACAGGCAAGTGACCAAAACTTGCAAGGGTTTTTAATGTGAAATTCGATCTATTTTAAATGCTTTATTTTCCAAAACAATTTTTTGAAGAAAATTTTTGAAAATTATTTTGAAAATATTTCAAAATTTTTAAGTTTTTTTTTGGTTTTGCTTTGAAGTTCAAAGTTTGAACCTTGTTTAAAAGTTTTAATAAAATTCCTATAAATTCAATTTTTTGTCACAACCTAGAATATCCTTTTTCTAAATTAAAAAAAATCAAATAATTGCAACCGTTTTAAATGTACATATTAAAAGCAGTCCTGCCTAGAGAGATTTTAGAACATTCGTTAATTCTTTTGGTTTAATTGAGCCGTTAAAATCAAGCAATAACTTGTTTTTATATTTCTTTAAATTGCCACACCGACATGACTACGTTTATCCATAAATATTTTTTATTGGCGAGCCACTTAAACTGAGTTCGAGTTCTTCAGGCACAATTATTCTAGGCAACACTTTGAAGGAGAACACACTGAGCTTAGACCGAACATACCATGGATTTCATTTTGCACTAGGTTTAGCTCCTCAACACTTTGCGATCAAGATGGGCTTGTATGTCTCAACCAACCCGCAACAGTTAACTGAATAATTTCGCACAGACGCAGCGAACTTTTATATGGCCGATGCTGTGGCGGGATTGTCTTCAGTCGCGGCTGCGCAGTCGCTGCGAATCGAGATCGCAGCAGCCGGGCTAATGGAAAAAGCTCGCTCTCTATTAGCCCGACTGCCACCTCTCTCTCGGTTTTGGCCAACTACTGTCCGTGTGAGCCGTGCCGTGATCGAAAGGAAATGCGTCAGCAAGCGAGCTTTTTTCGCGAGGGTGCCTCACACGGACAGTGTCCATGTCGTTCGTGTGATTTTCACTTGTGTGCGTGCGTATCTGTGAACATTGGAGCTCGAACTGTAGCAATCTTTGCAATCCGCTGGCAGTTTTCAGATACTAAGTACTTGGGCAGTGAAAAGGAACGTTTATTTTCTATCTTAAAAACTTCACTTTAGTTGTTTTTTTTTTGGTTATTTAATGGCATTTGTTTAATTTTGTCGGAATGTCGATCTTTGTTTGTAAGGATGTTAATAATATTCGTTATCTGCAGAGGAAGTGACAGTTCATAAGTGCAACTATAAACTTAACCCATCGCAATTTGGGGTTTAGATATCTACCTTGAGTTGAAGACTTCAGTTCCCTAAAAATAGTCAATATTGAAAAACTTCTAGATTTTTCCTAAAATAAACTTTTCTTATTTATTTTTTACGTAACTCGTAACTTCAAAATTTTGGTTAAAGAGACAAAAATGTTTTTCCTCAGCGTTTTTTTAAATCTATTTCATTCTAAATTACTTCTTTGTACAACATTTCTAAACAATTTATTGGACTCTCTTAAAACTATTTTAAACAAAACTAAAAAAATATATTAGTCTCAAAAAAAAAAAAACACAAATTGATTTTCATTATTAGCAGTAAAATCAAAAAAAAATTAAAATAAAGATGATTCTTTTGGAAATTTAGTTTGTTATGAATAAAAGGAATTGTATGGCTGCAATAGTTTTATGAAGCTTTTTGGCCACATCTTGACAGTTGGGCTTATTATAATTAACTTGTAAGGGTTTACTGCACCGAACAATTTTCATCCTTCATAACAAAATGGTAAAATCAAATGATTGGAATTTAAAATAATTTTTCCGACCCATTTTATAAAAATCCTTTAAAGTTGCCAAAATGTACTTTCGTCACTTTGTACCGAGTCGCAAGCCTTGAGCCATTAATAACCGACCGCCAGCACCTCAGTCACATAATCAAATTAGACACAACGGCCAAAATGTTCCACAGCCATAAGTCAAATTCACATTAGCCACACATTTCCTAAAATTTCAGGTTGCAACTGCAGTCAACTGCTGCAGTTGCAGTTGCATATTGAATGTAAATTGGTTGGCTGCAAAACAACAAAAGCAAAAACATGCGCCGCATAGTCTGCTTGATTCTGTGTGGCTTCGTGACTGAACTTTTGATCTCTGATTTGTGTTTGGCTCAGTATTCTTGTTTTTCGCCTATTTTTTTCTTATTTTTTTTCGTTTTTGGCTAAGCAGCGCTCGAGCCTTGATATGGGTGCATTGATTGAATGCTGCGGCGGTGTGGGTAATTTGACATTTTAATGCTGCAGAGGAAATACTCGCCAATGGCCATGTAAATGGAACGTGTGAACAATGAGTGGACCGCAAAGGCGCACAATGGAGAACAAATACAGACCAAATCATGTTTGGATTTATGTGCATTAAATTAATTGTGGACATAATGCTCGGACATAATGGCAGCCGAGCGTATTAGGCTTTTGTAATGTGCAGTTGAAGGCGAAGGTCGCCAGACATCATCACCATGATCGCCGTGTTTACCGCGATCATCAGCATCACAATCGGTTGCAAAGTCTGAGTCAAAGTTGAACCACATAAATGGCGGTAGCGGCGGGTGGTGGTGGTTTTGCTTTGGCTTGGGCCTTGTCCGTGTGGCGCTTCTTTTGTGGCCACATTTCTTTAACTAATGTGAGGCTATCATCTCAGCCGCAGAATCATCGGACTGCAGCAGAGCGGATGACTTAAGCGCTTCAATAGAAAAAATATGCAAACCAAACACGAAATCAACGGCAACAAAAGGCAAAGCCCAGGCCACCGAGCTCAAGTTCAAGTTTATGCATCGGGTTTTGGTCTGAGTGGTTTCTTTTTCTTCCATCGGTTTTTATGGTTTTTCTAGATCACTTTCATTTTGTTGTTGATTCGCCAACATTTGAATAAACGGACAGAGATAGATCGAAGATCTTAGCCTGATAGGTTTGTATTGATATAAATACCCAGTACTTATGGTGTAATCGGGTATTTCGGGCTTATTATAATTTATTTAATTACTTTTTTGTCAAATTAAATTTTTAGTTAATCTTTACATAAACATAAAATGTTCTTAAATTTTTCTAAGTCTGTTTTTTGGCCTGATCCATTCCCATTTTAATGGCTACTGGTTAATGTTATTTTTATGGTGTTGTTCCTTTTTCGATTTTTAAAATCTATCTATGCAAAGTTTTTTAAAGTGTCCCGCACAAAATGGTCAAGATATAAAAAACGAACGAGAATATTACTAAGTGAGCAATAAAATCCAACCAAAAGTCAATATTGAACGCACAAAATAAATTAGAAAGTAGCTGATTTCCACAAGAACCATATGATAACACTGAGAAATTAATTATAAATAATTGAATATTCAATTTCCGTTCAGTTATGCAAGGTATTGCTATTTTCAGTCTTCAATTCACAGTTGTACATCTCATTAGCATATGATTTTATCCGACTCTGCTAAAAGAGGAGGGTCTTTTATTATTGAGTTTGTTGTTTGACATTTCGCGTTCACCGGCCGCCACTCTAACTAATATAATTAATTAATGCAAAATTGACGTCAAAGCTTGGCTCATTAACAAGAAGAAATTATTGAAATTGAGACGAACACTTTGAAATTTAGATGCTCTTAGAAAAGAATATGTAAGACTAATGTGAAAAAATTATAATAAGATCTTTTGAATAATAATAAACTACTGAACATTTATGAAATCTATGTTTGTTTTAATTTGTCATTAATATTCTCATTAAAAACTCGTTTTTTTTATTTTGACTTTTTTTATAAGTTAAATGGAAATTTTATTTTTGCAGAGTATTTACAAAAATCTTTAGCAGTCTTAAGTCTTCCTTTTTTATAATTCTACCTTTATTCTTGACGAGCCAGACCGCAATTTATGGTTTTTTCGGGGGTTTTTTTTTCTTAAAAAATAGAGATTATATAAGCAAGGAACAGATTTGTTTATAAAGTCTCAGTCACTGATGCTGCCCAGTAATGTTCTTCTCGGCCAGCCAATTGTGCCATTAAAAATGATTTAAATCTAAGACAGCAAACACCTTTCGTGTTAGCAGGCCATAAATTATACCAAATACAAAATAAACTTATTCAAATTTGTTTTAGCGTCTTTTCGCTTTCGGCAACCAAAGGCGAAAAAAACCCGAAGTCAAGAAGTTTGCTAAATGGAATAAAACATTATATATAGATGGTAATTAACAATGCGAACACAAAAGACTGTCATTTATTATAGGGCAGAAGCACTCATGGATTTCATTCAAGCTCGTTCGATTTATCGAGCGCTGCTTAACATTTGTCATTTGCCATTTATTTAGCTGTGTATTTTTTGCACCTCCGTAACGCCGAATCCTCAACTCAAGCATTCTCCCATTGCGTTTGCTCCAGTTTTGAGATGCCACGCATTTGTCAATCGAATGCCGAACATGTTTCGATGTCTGATCCGTGCAAATATGCCCCAAACTGATTAAATTCACTTTGCTCTTTTGGCCAATCAAAAGCGGGGAACCACTTTTTGTGCTGCAGCCAACTAATTGCGGCTTAATGGCGTTCGAGTTGATTTCTAAATTGTCTAAAGTGCAAGTCGCCAAAAACTAATAAACTGATGGAAATTCAAGCAGATTTCATATACAAGCTATATATGTGGAGAATGTTCGCCGAGTTCTTTAGTCGGAGCAGTTTGATCAGTTGATTAGCACAAGGAAGCTGATATGATGCCAAATAAAACTCATTATCATCCACTTCTTTTTCTCCCTGCTCATCATCAGATTTTAGCCTGGTTAATTTATCTTAATCACAAGTTCCGAAAGGAAACGGCGAAGGTAATGCCAAAGTAAGTGCTTTATTTAATTGAGCACTCTTTTTTTCAACTGTTAGTAGGCCGTCAGTCAGGGTCTTTTTTCGGCCGTAGATCAACCAGAAATTTATCATAATTAAAGAGAAGCCGAGCGACATAATTTGACCCAAATTTTGAAAATTGAAATCGGAATGCGAATGAAGTGGCAAAAGATTTTCCTTGGACGGCCATAAACGATTTCGTGCTGGATCTAAGGTCTTTGGGATTTCAGCTGGAGTTCGACTTGGGTTTGAGCTCGGGCAAATAACATTTGTCAATTGAAATGGCCAGAAAAACAGAAAAACTTGTACCGACTGCGGGTCGAAGACAATCGTGCAAAACCTTCGACATTTAATTTTGTTTCGTTTTTGTTTATCTTTGGTCTGCACGTTTGGTTAGCAAAGAAAATTGTCTAGAAATAAAAAAAAAACAGAAAACACTTTACATGGAGCAATTTTTAGTGCTTCTTTTATTTTTTTGCTTGATAATTGCCCGCAAAAAGGTCATAAGAGAGCCGAAAACAAATTTTTGATTCGCTCGTTGATGGACACTATTTTTCGCCACTGTCTTTGCCACCGTTTCGACCTCAACACCCTCAAAATGAACAACAATAATGACCTTTGACTGGCGGCAGTTCGCACTTAAATCTCTCGTGCTGTAATATTTTTGGGAAAACTCCAGTTCGGCGGGTCTAACAATGGCTTGCAGAGTTTCCAAAACGAAAACGAACTTTTTGATTTGACATTTTCCATGTAATTGGCCAAATGCGGTTAGGGGCCCGGCCCCGCTTTGAACCTTGAATTATCAGACCAAGACAATACCACCGCAGCACCGCCTTCGATCGCCGTCGAACTCGAAGTG